ATGTGCAAAGTGTGACAGTCCAAATATATCTTTCCAAACTTCTGGACACATGCAACCCATACATTTTAAGTGTTGTTATTAGGGATACGATTAAATAATGACGGTAGTAAAAATAAAATGAGTGAACCAGCACAATTTTCCCACAACCACTCACTAGCAGACGTCCATTCCACCCACAGAAACATCCCAACACATTCCCCCTATTCTCGCATCTATCTCGAAACAATTAAATGTATTCATGATGGATTCTTTTTCTTCACAGCCAAATTTATTTACACAATTCTGTAAAATTGCCTTTGTCATTAAGATTTCCATCTCTTTCTTCCTTCTTTTTATTTGTAACTAATATGCTAAATGCATATTTTTGTTGCTTTGCATTTGATTCCATGACTTTATGTCATTTTGCCCTCGTACTTTTCAGTCAGGTTTCCGTTTTGAGTCACTGCTCTGTGCAGGACACGGTGCTTACCCTGCACTCATTTATTGCATCCATTTAGTGTCACACTTTTATTCCACGATACTCTGCTGTATTTTGTCACTTTGATATCATTCTCCAACAATAAAAACCCCTTTCCCCTCCAGCATTCATTAAATTTTCATGCTGGCATTATATAAGTATTATGACATAAACACGGAGCGGCTCGGAGTTTGGAATAGATCAAAGCATCTGACAGTATGTATACAGCTTAACCATTTCTGTTCAACTTTACATGTGAGGGTGTTTCTATGGTGGGGAACAAACTGGCCTCTGTAATGACAGCATCATAAATGATAAACACAACCAAAACAAACAGCACACAGTTGCTGAGGCAGGCTCATTACATTTTTCCTCTCTTACAGTTGTCAGACAATTCAACCTGACGGAACACTGTAACCTGAATGATCAACCATCAATAGAGACGTTCTGCTGTTCAAAGCCTGAACTATGTGATAGAATTGATCAAGTTTCCTTGTACTCGATGGTTGCTATGTATTAACATTTGATAAACTTTCAATTATGTCTAGACAATTTGTCAACTGGTGGGCTTCACAAAAATAAAATCCACATCTCCTTGGTAATTATGGCAACAAAATGATCATGTCATACGACAGTGTTGCTGTGGGACTGTTCTCATTCTGCATGACAAGTGTACAGAGCCATTTAACAGCAAGATGGCTGCCAGTCTGACTCCAGCTGAATCATATTTACTACTTGTGGCCGACATTGGGGCTTGTCGTAATTGACTGAGCATTACTTTGTCAGCATGTTTGTATGTGCAGAGAAGGATGCCTCCCACCTTACGGTTCACTGTGAACATGACTGTATATGGTAAATGATAAGAAGGATAAACACTGTGTTATAATTTAGCAAGCAAACGGTGTGTTTGTGCAGCATAATGGAGGAGAAGTTTGAAATGATGGTAGGCTTACTACACAACTGTAAAAGTTGTGGTCCACAACTTTAATCCTTTCACTTAACAAATTACACCTATTTTTATACTAAACAAGAGCACCCAGAGGAAGATCACTCATCTAAGGTGGAATAAAAGGTTTTTGAGTTCAAATCTTGCCTCCCTCTGAGGATGTATGCAAATTGCTTACTTACTGAATAGAGCTGCTAAGAAAAACAGAAAGACAAACTACATAACCCTCTTTTCTACTCCCAAATGTACTTAAAACATTGTAAGGCTTTCATTAAGTGGTGTACGGTTCATCACTGTGTGTACATTGCGTTATGACAGGTATCACATGTTGCTGTGTGCATTCAGTTGTCTGAAGGAAAAATCTAGCAATAAGGCCACCGACATTTAAATCTCTGCAAAATACAGAGCCATTAAAAAGCAAAGCAAATACGTTTTCACCCATGGGACAAGCAGCAGTGAGAAACTTTAGCATTCATTGCTAAGATGGAGTTTCCAGTTTGGTCAGCTTAGTGAATCACTACCTAACATTCTGTGTTAGGGAGATAGTAACATTTCATTGAATGGCTAAACGAATTAGATGTTTTGCAAATCCTCAATTGATCTTTCCTGACATCTGAGTGACAAACCACATGAGCTCATAGCTGAGACCAAGTCTGAAGGCCACACGGTTAAGTCCCAGCTTTCTGAGGCACTAAATGGTGCCTACACTCAGCAGCCTTTTGGCCAACTAAAGACCAAAAGTAAAACCTTATACAACAGTGTGACAGCATCTTTTAACTTTTTGTAACATAACTGACCATGTTCATCATTCTAGTAATTAATTGACAATAACAATTGTTTAGGAACTTGGATTCTTAACTTCGCTAAAATTTTGCTAGATCTAAGAAAGACCTTTTGATAGCAAGATCATCAAATACAACTAGTTAAAAAATGTAAATATAGCCACGGTCCTCAAAGACAAGCCTGTGCTATGCAGGGCTGTAGAGGATGTGATTAATCATTTTAGAAAATAATCGATAATAGCTTTCAGCTGGCCACAATAACATACATCAAGTTCTATTTAAAAATGCATTCAAGAGATGTGCTCAGGGTTAGTTTTCAGTTGAATAGAGGCACTCATTTATACAACATAGAATCCAATTTACACCCCTGCCAAGGAGATTGGTGTTATTTAGTCTGGCCTATGAGAGCACTCTGCAAGAACAGATTAATAAAACAGGAAGTAAAGACAGTGGGGGTGGTAAGTGGCGAGTGTTAATAAGATTAAATAATTAACAAGACAATCCAGAAAAGGATAATTGATCTGAGTCAAACACAATCATTTGAAGAATTCTGGCACCGGCAGATCACCGTTCTTATTGAACTTCTGCGCAGAAACTGATGAATGCCTACAATTTTAGGGCCCCAACTCTCATAGAATGAGGTATGGGAAGCAGTAATGAAGTCATGTGGCAATGCGGCGTTTGCCTCCAGCAGCTTGTCATCTAAAACACAGGCTCTGATTATTCCTACTACCTCCTCCTTTATTGTTAAAACTCCCACGAGCTGAGAAAATAGATTGATTGGATGCTCAGATTTAATTTCCAATGTCAGTACATAACTACAGGTCTAAATAAGGGTTCATTTTTAAGATGATAAACTGTATTTTTTAATTTACCTACGTATTAAGTCTGCGTGGTTAAAAATAAAAAAAAGTAACTACAGACAGCATCACTGAAAAATGAACAATGCCCAGGAAACAGACCAATTTTAGCACCTAAAATCCCAACTTCTAAGGCACTCCTTTCTTCTTTATACTCTGCAATAAATGTCTTTAATTAATTCCTCCCTCTTTGGTGTGGTGGTAGCGGCTCTCCCTGGGTTTTGAAGCTTAAGTGATTTCTTTCTTCACATTGGAAATACAGTCATTATCTAATCTAGGTCCACTTAATAATTAGCAGCCTCTGACTAAAGCCCACTTCCAGCAGGCTTTCATTCGAACACCTGCCATGCCAATCTGAGCAGCTATAAGTCGATGTAAAGACTTAATAAAAGCAAATGTAATTTGTATTACTCTGCCAAGGACTTGGATAATGTTTTTTGGGAATGATCATGCATGAAAGGAAGGAGTTTATATGAAGCATATTTTAAACTGTCAGCCTAAAAAGAAGTGGAAAATCCTCCATGCATGAATATTTAACTTAGAAAAAGTGAACAGCTGTTTGTTGTACTGTAGTAAAAGTAAATCTTCTGTGAGGAAAACTGTGGATTTTTTTCCTTCTTTTCCTTCAAATCTTAACATCTTACATGTATCATTAAAGACCATCTCATGGATGTCTGCACCCTGCCTCTGGAAAACGTCCAGACAAATTCTGCCCCAAAAAAACAGCATGAAGTTGCTGACCAAGCTCTACAGAAAAGCAAAACTGCAGATCGTTCCCACCAAACAGCCTTTGCATGATAAACGCCGGGTTGCTTACCTATAAAGAGCGGTCTCCTTTCCATTTCGTTCTCCTCTCCATTGGAAATGAAAATGCGATGTGCTTCTAGCCCTGCCAGCCCAATTGAGACGGAGGGAGGAAGAGGGAGGGGGAGAGGGGGCTGTGACAGTTTATTGCCATAAGCAGTCGAAGGAATCACAGGAGTTGTTGGTTACAGCACCTTTAACTGAATACACACGGTATAGAAATAAAGACTACACAACAAATCTGTCCTAACTTAAATAACATGTCTAAGCATTTGCTCGGTTTCCTGTGAATAAGAAGAAGCCAGGAGCTCCTTAACCTTACAGGTAACCTACTTGTTGCCTTTTGCATGAGTTAACAAGCAGCAATAAGCTGGAAACAGGAGTCTGCCTTCATAACGGGCCGCTGCACCGCGGGTTGTGGGTCTATTTCTGACTAACGTGTGGACAAAGTACGAGCTGTCATCCAACTCTTTCACCCGTCCAACGATGCACACATTTATCTTTTTTCACCACACAGACTCAGAAAGACTATCTATCTATCTGTAACATAAAAAAGAAAAAATATTATAATTTAATTACAATCGTGGATAATAAGCTTAAGTAATTGTGGAAAGGATTTCAGTCTGACGCCATGCAATGGGATTTATTTTGACGTAGTACATGTCCATGCCACAAAGGGGCAGTAAATGCACATAAACAAAAG